CTCGGGCGGGAAGAGGAAATTGTCTGATGCAATTTCGGCAGCTGGTTAGCTGGACAGGAATAGAACATTACAAAATCACCTTGAATCTTAAGCCTGCGCACCAGTTGTCTGAGATGAATGATGGGAAGGTGTTTTTTTGTACTGAAATTCCTTAGCCAGTGGGATTGAAAAGGCAGCTGAAATAGAGATGATTCGTTATTCCCCCCAGTGGTGCAGTGTGGATTGACTTAGCTGATGTGGATTGATCCTGAGTACATAGTAGGCACCAATGGTTTTCATATCATTGAAGATCTATTTTCTACTATGCATCAGGCACTAAAATGATAAAACTAAATAAACAACCCTCTCTTCATATCCCTGACCTCATTTAATTGCAATACCGTGGGATGAATGCTTTATTAGTGTCATTAAAATATTATGAAAAAACAGAGGAGAGGTTGTTTCCTGGCTTTGGAAGGCTGGGAGATGTCCACTGAGGAGGTGTCTTTCAGGCTGAAGAATAAGCAGAATTTTTTGAATTAATGAAGCCCAGAGAAGGGTGCATTCTAAGCAGAGGCGGTCTGTCTGGGTCAGAGGCATGGCGGGCGATGACATGTTCAGGGGATGGAGAAGAGCCCAGTGTGTCCAGACTGCAGGGCAGGTGTGCCTGTGCTGGCGGAGAGAAGAGAGAGAGAGAGAGAGAGAGAGACCAGGAAGCTTGGGAGGGAGGAGGCCGAGAGAGAGAGAGAGAGGGAGAGAGAGAAACACCAGGAAGCTTGGGAGGGAGGAGGCTTGGGGTCAGGGTGGAAGGTCTTTGGAAGGAATGATTCCAGGACACGCTCCTGAGAACCTGGGTAGGGCAGGTTCTTTGGATCCAGGGAATCGAAGCTTACACAGCCATGGAAGGGGCTGGTCCTGTTCTGGTTATTGCCTTGTGTGCACAGCTGGAAGAAGACTGGAAAACTCTACAGGGCCAGGGCGCTTCAGGTTGCCTCTTGCCATCTCTCATTTCCAGCTTCACGGGCTCCTTTCTCTGTCCTCAGCCTCGCTGTGCTGTCCCGCCCACTCCCCCTCACTCCTCAGTGTCCTTCAGTGCTGCGGACTTTTGACCTTTGTTCTAGGGTTCCATGGAGACAGTATGAGGATGTGGAGGGTGTATGCGGGAGAACTCAATGGGGAAATCAGGAAAACTCCGGACGTGGCAGCGGAACCCCTTTAGCCAGAGCACCCCACGTTGCTCTGCTTTACACATTGACATCTGGGCGACTTCTGCTTCAAGAAAATGTCCTATGGCACAACTAAAGCTTGAAAACTTCACTCTAGTTTAATTCTCGGTGGGAGCCATTCTGCTTGGCTTAGCTGATCACTGTCACTTCATTTGGGCAGAGCCCTATGCTCCTGGTCTCCCTGACCTGCCCG